ATGCCAGAGGCAGGATCAGGGCCTCTCCCTCTCTCTGCTGGGGCAGCCTGACTGTTCCATTTGCACTCTGTGGCAGCCGGGCGTCAGTTGCTTGCTGTTTGGTGTGAAATTTCTGTTTTCCTGAGCTCCGCAAAAGCCAGCCAGGTTTTTCACCCTCTGCCTCAGTCCTTTGCAAAGCAAAAACCTGGGTGTGTATTACCAAGCAGCAGCGGATTCCAGCAGAATTATTACTTTCCCTGGGAGAGGCAATGGAGGGATCTTGTATTACCCTCTAGTGATGCTCTGAAAGATTTCCAGATACTTTATTTAATAGCAAGGTAACTACAAAAGCACCAAAGTATGTTAGTACCTGCCTGCCGTGCTGTGTTTTTGCATATGCAAGCCCTGATTCTGCAAAGACTTAGGGACCTGATTAACTGTACTCATGTGAGTCATTGGGGTTACTTGCGTAAGTAAAATTAAGCACATAAGTGATTCCAGCATTGGGGCTTTGAGGTAGGGTTGCCAACTGTCTAATCACACAAACCCAAACACCCATGCCCCGCCCCTTTCTTGAGACCCCGCCCCTTATCCGAAGCCCTGCCCCACTCACTCCATCCCCCTCCCTCTGTCACTCAGTCTCTCCCACCCTCACTCACTTTCATCAGGCTGAAGCAGGGGGTTGGGGTGCGGGAGAGGGTGTGGGCTCGGGGCTGAGGTGTTCGGAGTGTGGGAGAGAGCTCCGGGCTGAGCCTGGGGCAGGGGGTTGGGGTGCAGGAGGCGGGGCAGGGTGCAAGGTCTGTGAGGGAGTTTGGGTGCTGGAGGGGGCTCAGGGCTGGGGCAGAGATTGGGGTGTGGGAGGGGGTGAGGGGTGTGGGCTATGGGAGGGAGTTTGAGTGCAGGAGGGGGCTCCGGGCTGGGGCAGGGGGTTGGGATATGGGAGGGGCTTTGGGATGCTGGATCTGGGAGGGGGCTCAGGGCTGGGGCAGGGGGTGGGATGTGGGAGGGGGTGAGGGGTGTGGGCTATGGGAGGGAGTTTGAGGTG